GTGAGAAAGTGTCCATCACTTATTCTTAGAGCCCAAACCAGCAAATGTTTGACCTTTTTAGAAATCATCAAAGTATTTTTTTCCGTTTATTGACTAATCAAGATTCAAGATTCAAGAACTTTATTTGCCATTTGTGCTTGCACACATAGGAACTCTTAATCAATTAATAACAGATTGCTTTAAGTCTAATACAAATAATCTTTGAAACAATAAAATCTTGAATGGTAATAGGGTAGGCATACTTTAAAATATAAATGGGCAAGTGCTCGCATTAAATAAAATGCCTGAATAAAAAGCGTAATGTATTGTTTAATATTTTCCTCGAGGACACCTGACGCCACAAATAACGTGTCACTGAGGTCATGACGACGAGGACTGACGTGTTGAGCCGCTCCTATAAAAGCAGAGGCCACAGTTCTACCTTCCTTCTGCACCTGAGCGCTGACAGACAGACAGACAGACAGACAGACAGCAGCTGAACTCTTGAGAAGTGAAACTCTTCAAGTGCGGAATTGTTGGACATTGGAAACTGCGAATTAATAAAACAGAGCAGAGCTGTGGGAATCTACAGGAAACATCTTTCAAGTGTCAAAAATGGTCTCCCCTAGGATACGACGTGAGAAATACGCGCTGACTGCATTCATCTTCAGATTGCTGGATGCACGCTATGGTAAAATACAGTTCATCACATATTGGCTTCATTTCTCTATATAGGCTGATTATTAAATGAAGCCTAATATATATTATCTTGTGCTTTATGTTATAATACAGGTTAAATATTGTATATTAACTTATATTATAAATATGAGTTATTCCATTGTGTTTGGGTGAACATATTTCCCCAGGCCACCTCACACCTGAGTCCCACCTGTTATTTCACAGTAAAATGATTGCAGATGATAACATTTTATAAATGTGCACATGTCAGGTGGAAAGTGTCTGAATATTATTGTAGTGATTGAGAAACGCATCCATTTTGAGGGGGGGCACAGGTGTCTTCTAGGTAACAGTAAATTATAGGACAAAGATGGCGACTGGGTCATTTTTTATAAAATGCTAAAAGTTGTCTATATTGCACGCGCCATGGAAACGACTTAAGATAATGGAACTAGCGTCAGATTGACGTCTGACGTCAGTGTGGTCAACCTTCACCAACTCCACAGAAAATTATAGAATCTATTATTTTTTTTTAAATTATAGTTTTGCTAATCTGTTTATATAGATATATATGGAGCTCATCACCTGCTCTGACAGTGTAAATGCCTGTTTCCCAATAAAGCCCATTTATTTTGAAATTAATTTGACTAATTGCACTAAATGCGACCAAATTTAAAATACTGTGTCACAATTTGCAGTCTTACAGCGAGAAACATGAAGCTTAGACATTATTAACTCTGAAGTCTCTACAGAAGTCAACATATATCTAGAAATATACATTTTGTTCAAGCTACCCATAGGTTTTTAATTCAAATGCAGCTAATGAATAATTTCTGAAACTATTTGTAACATTTTCTGATGTAAATATCCAATCTAAACAAAATATTAATTTACAAACTTTTTGGATCTAAAGGGTTTTAGTCAAAGTCATGTTGTCTTTTATACATGTAACGTATTTAAGCTTTTTTAGTCCTGCTGTGATGTGATCTGTGTTTTAAAGTCATAACAATGCAGCCAGGCTTTAATTTGTCATATCTCATGACTAATGTGACTCTTTTTCTCTCCATTTAGTCGACCTGCCGAGGCCGGGACGTGTCCTTGAGATGGTTCTTACAAACTTGAGGAACCGTCCTCTGAAAAAGAGCAATATAGACTCCATGAGCAAGTCCATCATCAGCATGTACCACGACCTCATCACAGGTTCAAAGAAGTTCCCTTTGATTGAATACAGAGGACTCTTCCGTGGAGAACTGATTCAGACCTCCTTTGACAAGATCAAGCAGAACTCTAGGGAGAACACCGTGCCATCTCCTTTAACGGATGCACCAGGGATTCTAGCACTTACTGTGGGCTCCCGTTCTCCTTCTCCAAATATTCTGACTCCCGTTATTCCTGACAAGTTGGAGCTCGGAGCTATGAAGGCCGACCGCAGAAATCACGTC